CTACAAATGAATGTGTTTTTTTTTGGAAAACTGATATGAATACTATCAATTTATCGATCAGATTTGGGTATTCGATGCTTCACATTGCCATAGCACTGCTGTCTTTTATACTGGTTTGCATGTTCATATGCCTTTTGTTTAAAAATTTTGTTCATCTCCTCCGAGTCATCATTTACCTTGCCTGTCCACGATTATCAATTCTGCATCCTTCTATTCAGGAACATATCAAGAAATCAGGCCTTGCTTGTTTCGAAAACTAGGATGTGGGTGTGCGTGTGAGTGTGGGTTCATAGTTTCTCTGCTAACACACCCTACACCCGCACCTACACCTCACCCGCACCCACACCCCACCCCCACCCCCACACCCTCTTTTTTTACAATTCAATGCTAATGATTATTTTCTTTGGAGACATGAGTGTGCTTCATTAACGAACACTATTTTTTTTATCTTGAAAAAGAAAAAAGAAGGTGTAAGGAACAGAAAAAATTCATTTTAAATACATTTCTTTCAGTGAAAATCTGCACAGAAAGCATGCAACTTGTTCAAATATTGATTTTAAGCGTATTTCTTTCATGTGTGAAAGGTTTGCTGATGTATTTTTTTCTCATTTAATTCTTTTATGATATGAACTATTTCTAGGTGAAACTACAGTAGCATCAAATAACTTATGCAGAATGGATAATGATAGTATCGAATTCGAAGCATCGTTATCATCTCATTCAGCATGGAAACCAGCATTAAACTGTTCTTTACAACAATGTATTGTAAGTTTGAATAATAACAACAGTTGTGTTTTATCACCAATAGTTTGCTTCAATTGTTACACATTCAATAATGTTAGCTATTGTGCTCCTGGTGTTTTATGTTCGATTTTGGAAGCATGCAACAATATTACATATGCCTGTGCATCAAATACTTCGATATGTGTGGTAAATTCATGTTGTACGCTGCAAGCAGTATGTTTACCGTTGTCATTGACAAAACTCTGTATATTAGGTAATGACAGGCTTCACTTCACTTAAACTTGTGAGAATTCAGAAACAAATCAATGTGATTTATCCTGATTTTAGTAGGGACTTGATTTATTTTTAAACAGCCATGATTGAGTTCTTTGATTTAGAAGTGATATGATGCATAGAAAAACATAAATTGAAAGACTATTGTATAACTGTAGAATTCAATTAATATTCTGGTTATACGTTGAAATTCTTAACAGAGTTTTAGTTTGAAAAAAGGACTGTGTATGGTAGAGTATATCTAAAAATTTGAGCTAGAAATTGCAGCATGATTCTGCCGTATTCTTTTAAATTCTTCACAAACTTCTGTTGTCACAAAATGACTTTTGTATAGTAAGGTGTATGAATAACAAAAGTAGTGTAACAGTTTTCATCGAATACATTAAAATCTTTCGTCTAGGATGGCATATTACTGGCAATATGAATGATGTGCGATCACAACACACAGCATCTGTATTAAGAAATGGACAAGTATTAGTTACTGGTGGTAGAGGTAATTCCACTGTTCTAAATAGTACGGATATATATGACCCATCAACGGGAATCTGGACAAAAACTAGCAGCATGAGTAATGCACGATCTGGACACACAGCATCTGTATTAACAAATGGAAAAGTGTTAGTTACTGGTGGATACGGTGCTAATGGTTTGCAAAATAGTACTGAGATATATGATCCATCAACAGGAACTTGGACAATGACTGGTAGCATGAGTAATGCACGAGATTATCACACAGCGTCCGTTTTAATAAATGGAAAAGTGTTAGTTACTGGTGGATACGGTGCTAATGGTTTGCAAAATAGTACTGAGATATATGATCCGTCAACAGGAACTTGGATAACGACTGGTAGCATGAGTAATGCACGAGTTTATCACGCAGCATCCGTATTAACAAATGGAAAAGTGTTAGTTACTGGTGGAGGTAGTTCTGGTGCTCTCACTAGTGTTGAGTTATATGATCCATCAACAGGAACTTGGACATCATCTGGGCACATGAATGATGGACGATATGCGCACACAGCATCTGTATTAACAAATGGAAAGGTATTAGTAACTGGCGGATTTTCTGGTGATTTTCTAAATAGTACTGAGATATATGATCCATTCACAGGAAATTGGGTAAGAAGTGGTAGTATGAATGGTGCACGATGTTATCATAGAGCATCCATCCTAACCAACGGACAAGTGTTGGTTACTGGTGGAAACGGTGGTGGTATCCAAATTAGTGTTGAGTTATATGATCCATCCAGAGAAACTTGGTCAACAACCGGCAGTATGTATAGTGCACGATCTGAACATACAGCATCTGTATTAACAAGTGGAAAAGTATTAGTTGCTGGCGGACATAGTGGCACTAGTGATGTAAATAGTTCAGAATTATATTAATTATCTCTATCAGTTAACAATTAATCATCTGATACTTATTTACAAAAGAACTTTTATATCCGAAGACTACTTTGACAATAAGAATTACTACATTCTAAATATTATTAATTTTTTTCTTTTTATGCTTTTCTTATGTTGTCGACTCTTTCAAAAGTTGAACTAAAAATAATAGTGTCTTTGTTTCTGTATACCAATGACAATTTCAGAAGATTTTCTAAAGAGTGCGATATAAGAACGGTACAGTGTGCAAACTTTTTCAAAAGAAAGCAACGAAGTAAAAATGAAGAAGGGAGGATAATGTGGTTTTCTGGTTTCGTCAGAATTGATTTACTTTTATCAAATTCGAAAAAAGAATAATCACTGATCACTTTTTTCACCTTCATCCTCCCTCTCCTGGAAAACGACAGGAAGGATATTTGTCTCTAGGGTTCTCCATCAGTATCATGATAAGAACCTGTTATATCCGTTTTCACGTTGATGTGTATATGAATATTTCTAAGATGTTGCTTAGTGTTTTTATCAGTTATGTGTACACTAATCAATTGCAACATTTTTTGAATTCTGCTCTAACATAGAATTATCTCTCCTTATATTACTATATACATATATATGGATACAGATATATAGTGTTATTACGGATTGCTAAATAAGCAATATATTTTGCTTCAAGGTCAAGAACAACGTTTTATTGACTTTTTTAAGAAAGAGAAAAAAAATGCTAATAGAGATTGAAGAAAACGAATAAGAGTTATTTCATTAAAAGAAGAACGAAAGTATGGAAAGAAAAAAAAAAAAAGAACAAATGAATAACACATAACATGCTTCTTATAGTACTTTCAATTAATCTATCATAACTGAACCGTTTCCTTTTTCACGAATTAAAGCTAGTTGTTCTTTTGGATTCGGCCATATTGATGGTGAATATCCCGATGAGAACTCATGAACTCTCAGTCATCATATCGTACACATAGTGGTAAGACGTATATTTTTTCTTTTATATCTTTTTCTTTCTTTCCTGCCGGTGTGGGGTGAGGGTGTGTGGGTGTGGGTGTGGGTGGGGTATGGGTGTGGGTTGGGATGGATGTGGGTGTGGGTGGGTGTGGGGTGTGGGTGTGGGTGTGGGTGGGGATGGATGTGGGTGGGTGTGGGTGTGGGTGGGTGTGGGTGTGGGGTGGGGTGTGGGGTGGGGTGTGGGTGTGTGGGTGTGGGTGCGGGTGCGGGCGTAGGTGGGTGTGGGTGGGTGTGTGGGTGTGGGTGTTGGCGTGGATGGGTGTGGGCGTGCGCGTGGGCGGGTGTGGATTAAGGTGGGGTGGGTTTGAGGTAGATGTGGCGTGGCTGTGAGAGTGTTGGTGTTTGAATAAAGAAGACCCACACCCACATCGACACCCACACTCACACGCGTACCCACACCACACACCCATACCACACACATCCACATCCATACCAACCCACACCCACACTCACACCCATACCGCACCCACACCCACACACCCCACATCCTTAGTGGAACGACAGAAAACACGTTCTTTTTTTTCTAAGAAGGACGTTGAGCCGTCTTAAACTGATTCATCAACTAAAAAAAATCTATTCTTGAGCGATTCTGTTGAGAACATCAAATAAAGCCATCCTGTTTTGAAGAAATCCGTTCCTTACTTTTCCAAAGAAGAATGGAAAGGAAATCATTCTCATAATTAACAGAACGGTTTAGAATGTTTTCTACTCAGATCAGGAACGATTTAGGACCGAGAAGAAAGGATTCTATAATAGTGAGAAACGGCAAAGAACGCGTTTCTTCAAATACAGAACGTATTCTTGTAGATTATGAACACATTTAGTGAGTTATGGAACATGATCTTCATGGATAAGAAACTTTTCTCTAATCTAACGAACACGTACTCTTTCGGCTTTTTTTGGAATATTTTTCGCTGAGTCTCTATTGCCAATTGTTCAATATACACATAATGATAACGAGTTTATTAAAAGAGTATTTTATAACATTCGTGCTTATCTGTCAACTTTTTTTTTTTTGAAATGAGGTATTCTATCAATGAAATTGTCCTTTTATTCTCTCGAAAACTGTCAATTTGCGTCATTTTGTTCGCTCATCTTTCATCATGGATTTATTTTTGATTAAAAATTAGTGTTGGTAATGAAAAAAAATTATTCTGTCATTAAAAAATATGATAGCCACTCATGGGATAGCCGTAAAAACCATAGCCCATTGAAGGATATGCCATTGGATAACGAGGCATCACATCGAACGGGCGACCAATGATGCCATCGCCATTAAAATCAATGCCTGTTGCTCGTTCAAGCGAACTCCAGAAACCTAAACATAATAGACAATCATTTTTGTAGAGCAACAGTACGAAACATATTTAATATATCTATATCTACCTTGTCCTCCAATGTATCCATCACCATTTAAATCAATTCCAAGATTGCGTTCGAGACTATTGACAATGTAACCTATTCAAAGAAAGACAGAAATAAACTTATCTTCTGAATGAATGACAGAAATCATCTTTTCAACAATAACTTACGGTTCATATTTGTATGTGTGGTTTGCAAACTTATAGGAAGAAAAAAAAACGCAATGATGAGCGATAAATTGTATGTAATAATTTTCATTTATATAGTATAATGTTTGCCGTCAAATGACGACGTTGTCACGCTAATATGACACATGACTTATGTCCCATATTCTCATGATTGTGCGTATATACAACAGAGCCCGAAAACGAACCGAACTCGAACCGAACTAAGACGGTTCGGTTCGGTTCGAGTCGAACCGAACCGATCTCGATCCGGTTTTTTTAAAATTTAGTCGAACCGAACCGAACCCGAACCGCTCTTTCAAAAACGTAGTCGAACCAAACCGAACCCGAACCACCCTTTTTAAAACAGAATCGAACCGAACCGAACTTGAACCACTTCTTAAAAAGCGACCTTAAGCTGAACTGCGCCTAACTAATTTTTGAAAAGCGAATAAATATGGATAAGTACATAAGAAAAATGATTAGCTGAGCTATAATCTTTTTTGTAAGATTGTGATGCTATATGGGATTATCAAACGATCTTTAATCGAACATTTGACATCAGGGATTGTGGACGATCAATTTATATTTACAAAAATTTATCAAGTCAAGAAATCAATTGTAAAAGATTTCATTTTATTTTGAATTTAAATCGAATTTGTACAAAATTCAAAAAAATTCAATAAACTCAAAATAATTTAGATTACATCTAAATAAATTTGAAGTATTTTAAGCTCCATTTTAATTAATTTAAGTTTCACTTTGTATAGTTATCTATAGAAATCAAAAGAAACCTTTTATCTCTCAGGTCTACTAGCAATGGTATCTGTACAAGCTTTTTATTATCGTTAGAAAATAATAGGAACGGAGCACGGCCGTTTTCTTACGGGATCTACTATAGTGATGATCGGATGTTAACGTATAATAGCAGTTTCTCTCTTTATTTCTGATCTATTTTTCTTGAAGTCATGTATTTTGACGATTGGGCTGTTGCATTTTAATTCACAAAAAATTATTATTTCCAGAAATTAATTCTCAAAAATTTAAATCTAAAATAATTTTAAATTTATTCCACATAACAATTTAAATTTATTGTAAATTAAAATTTTGGTATCAGAAAAATTTTTATTTAATTTTAATTTATATTGGCAACAGTTTTAGTTTAAAATAAACTTACAGGAAAATGGCACGCCTATCAGGAACCGAACCGAACTATAATGGTTCGGTTCGGTTCGAGTCGAACCGAACCGATCTCGAACCGGTTTTTTTAAAATTTAGCCGAACCGAACCGAACTCGAACCGATTTTTTTTAAACATAGTCGAACCGAACCGAACTCGAACCCACTTTTTTAAGACATATTCGAGCCGAACCGAACCCGGACCAATTTTTTAAAAAATTAGTCGAACCGAACCGAACTCGAACCCGTAAAAGTCGGTTCGATTCGGGCTCTGATATACAACTACGATTGTGTATAGACTGTTTTGATAAACAAAGAGGAAGCAAAAATAGAAAAAGAAGAAAGTGAAAGTGAAAGAAGGAACTCACTTACGTAGAAGTGCGTCATTTTCGTTCTGCTTTATTTATAAGCATTTTTCTATCAACAAGTAAACATCAATCAAAAAAAAAAATGGATGACGCAAAAATAATTATAGTCTCAAAATGTTCAAACTTTCTTCCCTCTTCCCCTCCCTTTACGCTGCGTCGAACTAATTTTTTCTAATAGATTCTCCGTCGAATTTACTAAACGCTAATGGTTTGTCAACTGTTTCATTGTAAAATCTTAAGGTACAAAATGTCATCAGAACCTATCAAAGTCAGCAAAAAGTAGAAAAATAAACACATTTGACTAAAAAAAAAATTCTGTATTTTCTTGGAGTGGATTCACAAACATCAGGAGCATGGTTTTCGTAAATTTGTTGTCTAGTTTCAAATATGGTCTATCTTATTGTGTAGAGTGAAGATTATTTGAATTAAAATATGCGGCGACAAACATTAATTCTTCTCTGTAAACGAACAAAAGATAGCAACATTTTAATCTTATTTGCGCAGTTGAGCAAAATAAATCTTTTTTTTCAAAATCTTAGAGATCCGACCATAAGGACTAATCAATTGTCTTCAAAACAAAAAATTCAACTTGAATGGATTATATTTGAGTAAGCTTCATTTGTTTTTTTGATGTAATGTAACTTCTATCGTCATTCGTTCCTCTAACGAAATGTTTCGCTTCTTCTCGCAGTTGTACAGACAAGTTTTCTCATAATAACCGAAACGAAAAGCAAGGACAGAAAATAATTAAAATTCGTCGACACGAATAGGAGACTCAAGACAGTGTATATGATTTAAAATAGAAAAAAAACAAACTTTTATGGCGCATTTTGTGCTGTCCCAGTAGATCTTTTTTTAAATACTTTCTAATATAAAAGAATATTCAAATTTTCTATGACTAAGTTCATTAAGAAATC